GGAGTCTATGCAGATTAAATGTAGCTGCAACGGAATGTAGTATAAGTATGCTCCCTAACTAAAAGTACTAAAGACCTACCTTTGAGGGTACCACCGTAGGGACTGTGTTTACCCCGAAAAGTATTTTTTTCTGATAATTTACAAGAAACTGAGAGGTTCAAGGACAGTCATAGGATCTTCATACTAAGATTTTCTTATTTCACTGCATTCTGGTGAATAGTCTAACACACCCTTTTTAAAGTGAACAATTAGGGTCATGAATTTCAGCCCTGCCTTGTTTGACTCAGAGGGAGGAGAACTTTCAGAATGGAACTGGCTTTGGATGTGTGTTTTTAAAGGGGGACTGAGTGATTGATTGCCAGCAAGGTAGTTTATTGCAGCTTTATTCAGAGTAAATTTTTTGCGGTAATTAAAAGATGTGTACTGTGTGTAACTTTTACAAAAACGGCACGTTTAAATAGCCAAATAGTACACAAAACGCTGTGACAAAAACTGACATTACAGTCTCCTCTAGCAAAACAATCTTAAATTCAAGATTTATGGATGTGGTAATAGTCCTACAGCATGCTGGCCTTAATGGTCTCATAAATCAAGACTGTCAGAAACTGATATATACATGCACTGCTTTCATAACAAGGGCAGGGAACATTTTATAAATGAGATGAAAACAGCATCAAGAACATGTTCTGACACCAAGCAAAGCTCAAGACAACACATTTGGACTAAGACGGGTGAAATGGTAGAGCTTTGACACAGAAACAATAAATAATTGCCCTTTGTACTGGTAAAGCCCATAAACACGATGTTCTCTGTTGGCTGTACAGTTTAGTCTTCCTTCTTTAATGTTTTAATGAGCTGTGGCTCCTCTGATGCAGCATATCTGCTTCCTCTAATTGCAAGGAGAACCCACTTCTCCAGCAGACATCACCCTCCATCACCTTAGTGTATAACCACCACGGTTAATCACCAGGAGGGCTGCAGTGGTTGGGCCAAAGCAGAAAAGCCAAGAGCTGAGAGTACTAGCACCCTAAACAATCTTTTCCAAGCACCACTTCCATCTAGCTTCCAATTCTACAGTAAGCTGGATGACTCTTTCAGGATGCCCTGTGGCAATGTAACAGCTAATGAGAGCACAGTTGCACTCTAGCCACCAGGAGGACCTGCTGAAGGAAGCAGTAGTAGGGTGAATGTAATAGTAGTAAGGTGGATAATAGTAGTAGCCATGCACTCTGGGGTGCCTGTCGCTGCTATAGCCATGGGCAAGGTTTTGGTGGCTTTGTTGCAAAGGCAAATACCCTTTAGTGGCATTGTGCAGGCCAGGGTTGTCCAATCTTATCCATAATGGGTGGCTGTGGCTGTAGGTTTTCGATCCAACAAAGCAGGAGATCGCAAAATCAGCGAGATTTTAAGACTGAGACCAACTGATTAAACAAGTAGAGTCAGGTGCAGCCAAACCGGTCCTCTGTTAATAAAATTGGATACACCTGGTCTAGACAGTCTGAGGTATAGTGGTGCCCCCTAAGGTGGTGGAACCCTTTTGGGCACCAAGGAGCGATGTAGAAGGAAGGTGGCAACATGGTGGCATCCTCTGATACACCACGCTGTGTTGTACTACTGGCTGTTACTGGTTGCAAGAAAAGTGCAACCAATATCAACCTCTCCTAGACCTCTGATGCATCCTTCTGGCACCCTTAACCACACAGTATGGGGAAAGTCCTCTCACCCTGCATCCCTCCTCACCTCCTGCAAACCTGGTCCATAGCTGGCTGCCAGCCATGTTTCCTATAGGTATAATCAAGATTAGGTTAGGCATGATTGGGATGATGTTGAGTGAGAACTAGGGGTAACCTGCAAACTAATGGATCTGAATCCCATGGCCCACAAAGCCATGGCACATTGCTTGGCAGCAGCAGTAGTTCTGGCATGGACCCTGCAGAATAGAAGTAGGACAGCTGCCTCCCCTGCCACCTTTGTCATACCGTGCAGGGCTGGCAACAAAGACATCAACCCTGCAGGGTATGACAAAAGAGGAGAAAAGGATACATCAAGGTATGGCTGGCAACCACCCATATGGTCAGTCTGCCCAGGACAGGAGGGAGTTAAAAGCGATTTATTTGCTGAAGCTGGCTCCTGGTGTTCCTCAATACTGACTGGCATCTCGGTGTTGCCTGCATAGGAGCACTCGGTACTGCTGTGATCTTCTCAGTACTACACCCAAGTGGAAGATTCCATTGGCAGTACAAGTGGTTGTACCTTCTTGAGGCTGCAGCCACAGCTTCTACTAGACCAGCTTCTCCCACATGGACAAGTGGTGGTGCACTGCCTTCCTTCAGTCCCTGGCAAAAGCAACAGACTGTAGGTGCAGGTCTTGGGAATGAGTGCCCACAGACGCAGCATCTCCTCACTGAATTCCAACAGATCTGAAACAAAGGCAGTCTGCCCTACCTACTGAAAAAGACAAGGAATGTGCTAAAACAGGGAACTGCAGAGAAGAACATCAGCTGCGAAGAAGGCTCCAAGTTCTTCCAGGCCATCTTGGCAACAGGAATAGGGTCTGGGCTCCAAACAGCAGACATATTCTGACCTCTCTTTTGTGGGTCATCTGGCTTGTTCACCATCACCCCATGAAACAGGGTGTAGTCAGACCATTACAGGCATGTAAAACTATGTTTTCTCCTGCCTCTTAGCTTTTGTCTTTTTTTTAGCATGTTGTCTGCCCATTACTCGCTACACTAGAATAAGATGACCAGATTTCTGATATGAAAACCAGGGACATTTCCAATTCGGTGGGCAATAGACCATTAAAATATCCACTGATTTTATCTTTGAAATAAAAAAAGAGGGGACAGTTCCAGTTTTGTGTATTGTGATGATGGTAACTGTTGTACTGTAGTAAACTATGGTGAAGGCCGACTGAAAAAATTGGCACTAAGTAACTTTGTAAACTGTGTTAGAAAATCATAGAGTAGCCTACCATGGTGAGTGAAGCTAATAGGCTAATACCCAGACCCTAAACACACCCCTGGGCAGCTCCAGCTTTGGAGAGACAGAGACAGCTGTTATCAACATATGTCATATATGGATGGCTGAAAAATTGATTAGTAGATTGGGTACCCCTGAGTTACCTCATGTCCTGAAAGGACGTTTGTGGTGATGTGGACACTTGCTAGCTACTGGTCGGGTTTTACACAGAAGTGTTCTCTAAAACTAGGCAAGCAAGTGGTAGAAGTGCTTAGTAGATTGCAGCAGCCAGTCCCCTCCTTTGGCCAAAGCAAGCGAAGCATGAGATGTCTGCCTGACTGCTCTGTGGCAGGTCTTTCTTAGGACTTTCCGGTGTGTTTGTAATTCACACTAAAAAAAAGGGACATCTATAATCACTGGTAACTGAGGTATAGTCAGAAAGGCCACTAGGCTGCCTGTGTTCATCAGTAGACACTGATGGTTAGGAATGGGCCATGTCACCCAGAAAGCCAAGCAAGAGCTCAGGAACACACACTCACAGACCAGCAGAGGTGAAAATAGCAGAGCTTAATTAGCGATAATTGAAAATGTTACTGCTGACATCCACTTTCTCAAAGTTCAAGATCAGTCGGCTCTTCTATTTTCCAGGCTGGAGAGATTTTTTTTTAAAGATCTCTTGCTCTTCCCCTAATCACAAAGAGCCCACGTCTTCCTAGGCCTGAACATCTTGAGGAAAATATCTAATTGCGATTTTGCTAACCAATACTGCAATTGCAATTAAAAGGCAATTAATTTTTTTTTAAGCTCCAGGTCTTTGCCATGAAGACTAGAACATCCTTTTTCTCATGCTTGAGTCTTATATAGTGAATATAGCCAGAATGCCAGTTCACAAGCTCTACATTAAGAGGTTGAACTTGTCAACTTAAACCTTGTTCAAACGATTTGCGATATAAAAATGATTAATTTTCATCCCTACGTCTTCCTTCTTGCTGCTGCTCATTGGCTATAGTCTTTTCAAATCTGTAGCATTCAACCAACAATTTACAAGTATTCTATTTGAATTAATCCTATTTTAAGACGTATTCTATAGTTTGTAGCTTATTTTATAGTTCAGAGGATATGTAGAATGTGGTTATCATTATATTCCAAAGGTGTTTTTGGGGTAAAAATGAAGTCTAGGCTTGGACTATCTGGCTCTGAAGATTAATAATCAACACTAGGTTTGATGTGTGTGTGAAAACAACATGAACCCCTCCCCCCACCCCCCACACTTAGGAAAACTTCAATGTGTATATGAAAAGTCAAGTATGTTCAAGGGAAGCTGGCAAGCTGGATTGGAAAGCAATTTATTTTTGGTTAAATAATTCGGGGAGATCCAATAAAATATCTATTCATAAATAGGATTACCCACCCAAAAACATCGGCCATGTTTTCATGCACGCTGATAGGTATTACTCAGAGTGTAGCAATACTCTGAGTAAGGCACGTGTCATGTAAACTTTGTCCATCACTTAAAGTCCATAAACCTGCTAGCCTTGTCTTTGACAATCAGAAGGAAGTGAACAGAGTATCATAAATCCAAGAGTTGTTTTCCATTTTACATGTATTAGCTTTCCTAAGTAGAACATGAGGCTTCTGTTTTCTACAGTTCTGCTCTGAGTGTGCTCCATGAAAGGTAGAAGGTGATATCTAAAGCTCATTTCCAAGTGGGTTAACAGTTCTTTTATTTTTCTGGCAAGTTCTTCATAGCTCTGGCTATTTGTGAGACCTTAAATGCACTTTCTGGCCTTCCTCTGTCAAGCAATTACAAAGAATATTGCTAATAATAATAATAATAATAATAATAATAATACAGCGTTGCAATTCTCGCAAATGTCATAAATGTCATTGTCATGGATTAAACAGAATTGACCAACATCATAGCGGCTCTTTCTATAAGTGTTATTGTTTTTTAACCCTCTTGTCTAAAGCATGTACCACAACCAGGACTGCACATTTAAAGCTCACAACGTGAGAGAAAACACGAGATCAAAAAGAAACACCTCTATTCTTATATTCTGAATAAATTCATACCAGAGAAGCAAGCCAGTCATGTGCTTTGTTTTGCTTAAAATCAGAAGAACATACTTAAAGACAAAAGGTGAGCATTTCTTTGATTCTGCCTTACATTAAAATGTGAAAACATGTTGCTATGTTTAAACAACAACAACAACAACAAAAAACCCAGGGAATTTGACATGTGGCCATTTACTACAGGTGGTGAGCAGCTACACTGTCCCAGTGTCCAGATGAAGTGTTAAAGGCACAGTCCACACAAAATCCAGTTTATTTGTACAGTTCCTTACCATGGTGACAGCTTGGAGCAATTTATCTAATATTCCTCAGCACTGAGGCTTAGCTGTTTGCCCACTTAAAACATGCCTAAGGAATACTGACTCAAATTCCTTCCACACTGCAAAAATTACATCTTGGCAAGTGAAAACATCTTAAACATAATCAATATTTCAAAACTATTTGAATAATATTTCTCATTATTAGATTGTTGGAAGAATATTATGTTGTATGAATATAACTTATTTCTAGATGTTTTGTTGACATAATTTTGCTTGTTCCAAGAAAATAAAGCAGCAAAATTAGCTTCCAATGGAATAAGATGATTTCTCTAGATAAAATGACTTAAAACTAGGCATGCACTAACAGCAGAACTGTTGGCTGTTGTCCGATATTTTTCAGTATTCCAATACTAATACGAATACTTAAACATATATAAATTGTAGACATTTGGACTATATCCACCTTGATTAGAATTACAGAGAAATTTAACACTATTTTTTATTGGGTTACTAATGTTAACTTAATAAAATGCAGTAACCCAGTGACACCTAAACATTTTTCTCTTCCAGAGTACAATAAACACATCATCAAATATCAGTTTCAAATATCGGTCAAGTTTTAAAATCTGTTCAATGGCGATTCTTTTAGGCAAATATGTGCCAGCACCGAAATCACTGTGTATCCCTACTTAAAACAGATAAATTATCTTATAATGGACTAACAAAAATCTCAAAGTGAGAAATGTTAGATATGGGATGATATTTTAGATGATTTCAGTTGGCAAGATCTTTTTTTGAGGTGCTGCTGCCTTTAAAGTAAGAAATTACACTGAATTAGGGATTGTTGTGGAATGCCCCCTTAAGATACAGAATATTCTCTTGTTAGAAGTAGGGCAAAGCAAATAAAAGCTTCAAGTATAACTTTGAGGAATAATTAAAAAAAAAAAAAACTCCCAGTTTCCACCTTGAAAACTGAAAAAGCTTAATGTGGCAATTCATGTTCAATGAGTGATGTGAGTAAGGAAGTAAATGTAGGTCAAGTTAGGCATTAAAAGTTCAGATAGCAGATAACCGACCTTTCAATTCCACTTTTAAAGCTTTGCTTCAAAACAGGTAAATCCACCACCACTGCATTGCTTTCACAAATAGGGCTTTCTTGTCTATTTGTACCAAAGCTATGAGGGCAAGGATTGAAAGGTGGAATCAGGCAAGCTGTTGTAAAAGAATCCTGAGATTGAAAGGTTTGTGAAGCCTTAGTGTGCGACCTCTCCAGTTTAAGACAATAAATTTGAGATCAGGGGCTTGAAAGAGAGCCATTTACTCAAACTGCATGACTATAGAGAAGACCTCACATCGTTTTTCAAGCCAAGTGACAATATTAACGGTCTGTCTTTGTAAAAACAATATAAGCACCCCTAATCAAAGAAGTAATACATATAAACGATCAAATAGATCCATTTTTGTGTTGGTTTCCATAAATAGGCCCACGGTGTGACTGAAGGGGAAAAAGAAAAAAAACACAGCTGATACTAGAAAGCAAAGCTCAGTTTTTGTGAGTTGGAGATGTGCAGGCTAAAGCACTTATCAGAGCAGAAATTTTCCTTTTTTTTTGGTCAGTCAGATTTGTGAAGAAAAAATAAAAATAAACACAGTCATGGAATAAGCTCACAGAGATGAGTTTAAAGGCCGCAGAAGACATCATTCCCTTTGCTTTTTCTACTTGAATGCAGATCAAAACAAGGCAGAAATAGTGCAAGAGGTAAATGGTGTAATAATTGGATGATCTAGATTTGTAGCAATGTCAATAAGTAATCAGCAAGCAGGGTGGCGCCTCTCTTCTCAGACAGAAAAGGGGATGGGAAAGAAACGAAGAGGCAGAGGGACCAGGACAATCAGTGAAATTGGTCAGCATTAACAAGAAGGGGCCACGGTGATCAGCTCACAATGAAATCCTCACAAACTCTTCTAAGGTTTGCCCCACCATATCCAAATCTTCCTTAGTCCTCTCCTTCCTCTTCTCTTCTTTCCCAAAGAATAATGCCTAGCTCTGTCCGTTCACATCTTTCTCCTCAGCCTGATCCGCCTGTTGGATCAAGATGAGCCACTGGAGCTGTGGGTGTCCCCGTCTGGCCAGAGCGTGGCCGGCCGTCCTAAAGAAATTGTTTCTGTCAACAAGGGCGACTGCAACTGCTCGCTAACTAGATTCTCGTATTCGCTACTGTCCTCGTCATCATCCTCCTCCTCATCCTCCTCTGCCTGGTCCTCCTGCCCGATGGCCTGTCGATTGAGGGAATCCGAGCTGGAGCCATCACCGTTGCCCAGGCCCAGGCTAGGGGAAGGGTGGCCAGGGGAGCCCACAGCTTGGGGCCGGGGCAGCAGGATGGCGCTGGGTGGGTCTGGAGGCAGTGCAGCAGTGTAGAGGGGTTGGGGAGTTGAGTTTGCAGGCCAGTCTAGGCTGGGCTCCAGTGGGGGACTCTGGAGAACCACACGAGTCAGCGAAGGGGGGGAAGAATCTGAAAGAGCTGAGTCATCCTGGAGAGAGTGGGAGTCGGTGTTTACTGACTCTTGGTGTCCTAAGAAACCAAAAAACAGAATGAGTGACAACAGAGCGAAAGAAAATGGTGAATCTCAAAACCTCTACTAAGTAAAATGGGTGGGCATTTTGATCATTTTTGCTATTCAAATATTCACTCTGTATGCATCGTATACATGTATAGTATTCAAATAACCTAAAAGAAAAAGTGAACAGCAAGTTTAACAATTGTTTATTGCAGCTAAGATAAGAGATGATTTAAACTTGATTTAGTGGTTTAGTATTTAGTTGTATGGGATTTACCACACTACCGGCTGACCTACAGAACGATATACTTAGATGACACAAAGTTATACTACTCAGCACTTAGTACATTTTTTCACTGCACATATTACTGGAACCCCTGGCACCAGAAAACTGGAACTGTGTTCTTTTCCTTTGGCCCTCTGTCCAGTACTGAAGGCTCTAATTTTATGGTTTTTGGTATTTGTTTATGATTGGTACCAACAGCACCTAATGGTACTTAAGGATGTTCTCCTCTGTTTTTGGTCACAGTCACAACTGAAGCCAATAACATAAAACCTTTACTTTTCTAGGTGAAGATAATATCACCAAGCATGATTACATCACAAATAAGAGCACCAGAAGGTAAACTAAAACAGTACAGCTATGTTTCCAGCAACTTCCTGCACAAACTGTAAGTAATAAAATGAAATGTAATTGCTGCCCAGCCCCTTGTTTCCATCAGACTGACTTTTTAACAATAAAAAGGATGACATTGAACTGTTGTTGCATAAAAAGTTGTGGTTTCCATCTCTAATTTCGTACACGTCAACTTGTTTACCTTTGCCTTCTCTGAATTCCCCATAACCTAATGATAAAGAAATTTCATTTATTTATTTTTTTTTCAAAGAAACAGTAATGTTTCTCTGCCATATATGCATTGTTTTAAACGATGCCATATACATCTCTGTTTAGCCTAGATGTCAGCATTTCGCTTAATGTCAAAAATTGATGTGAACATGATATGGAAATTTTCATATTTTCCCATTTTAAACTACATAGGCTTTATTCAAATGCCTGATTCAGTACCTAAATACTGCAGTGATGCCCATGCACAGCAGCAATAAAAAACTGCACATATTCTAAATATATCAAAAGAAAAAAAGAAGATATATCAAATGACACCCAGTACATACTCCGCTCCTCTGCAGCAGTGCTGCGCTTCCTGAGAGCGATCTCCTCTTTGAGCTTTTTCACTTCCTCTTGGATTTTCTCCTTCACCCGTTCACTTTGATCCACCTCAACACACACAGCCTAGGGACAGAAAGAACAACCAATGTTATAGCAGCTCTCCAGGGACCCCATATCATCCAACAGCCTGCCTCTAGCAGTGTACAAATAAACAGGATCACCAAACAATAATCAAGAAATACCTGGCTAGAATTCATGCATATCTGTCAGTCACTTTAAATGCCCTTCAGTTGGGCTGAGGCGTACCATCTGTGTCTTTGCTGAATGCTAGAAGGCGACTATGAAGTAGCATAGAGCTAAATTTGAAGTGGCACTGAAGGACATCTGATCAAAAACAGCTGACACTGTATCTCATTGAGACAAGTGCAAGATTAAGGCTGTCAGAGCCTTTCATATGCAAATGTGAAGTAAATATCCTCGGTTTGGGATGAAAAAACAAATATAAACCAAAACTATGCTAGAGTAACATAAGCTAAACTGCCATTATTCAAAGTTTTTCAGTATTGCTCAGTGTATGTTTTGGAATTTCTTACAGACATGCTTTGCACATGTGACTCACCTGCACCTTCTCCTGAAGGGCACTGTACAACTGGAAAATGGCTCGAATATCTTTCATCACTCCATCCTTGTCAAAGAACTCCGCCCTATAAATGCACATCACATTCATTAATAGATAGAATTTCTCACCTTGCAAACTGTGCAATGATCACTGTGAAACACCATCATGAGAAATCACTGTTAACCATGCTCAACTGAGTTTATGCCAAAAATGCACAAATACAAATAAGAGTCATAGCAAACTGTGCAGTAATAGTAAACACCTTCAGCAATGGTCACACACATACTTCCCACCAGGCTTTCAAGGTCTCCACCCTTTGGATTACAAGTTGACATATTCCCCTACTGAAAGTCTTGAAATGAGATGTATGCACTTTCACTTTAACTCTGTCAAGTATGTTTAAGTAATACTTTGGGAACACAGCAAATCCTTTTGGTCAGAACATAGCATGCAATCAGTGTGAACTCACACAACCAAAAAAGACATTCTTACCCATGTTCTTTAATAACACTGGCATAGTTCTTGGAGGTGTTGGGGACAGAGGAGACTTTATATTCCTGCTGACTGGTGTTGCCCAGGTTTGGGATGCTCAAAGATATCCTCTGATTATACCTGCTGAAATCAAAGAAAACAAGTTAGGACAAAAAAACTGCATGGGCATCAGTTATAGGCAACTCAAAGGGATTTATTTAAAATCTGTTCATGCTTATTTAAAACCCATGCTTGAGTGGGTGTCTAGAAAACAACAACAACAAAAAAAGAGTCTACTCTCAAATGGAGCTAATTATTACCACAACACTGCTATGGCAGCATTCTGACCATGATGGTGGGCACATCACCACCATAACCATGCATATTTCTTTTTTTTTTTTTAGATGGAGGTATAAAGATGTGAAACTGTACAATTAAGTGTTTGGCCTTACCTTCTGTTGGGCCTGAAGAGAACATACTCCAGTGCGTGTGTTGAACTATTGGCTGTTGAGATGAAGCTGAAGAGAAGGAAGACGAGATCTGGGATGCCCAGTATGTGGGTCAGCTGCTTATGTATCACCTGCTCCCTGAACGACATCTGCTGTTGAGTGTTCCTCCGGAACCGGTACCAGCCGATAACGTTCTGTGGGGTGATATAAAAAGTAGTTCAGAGAACTTTTGACTAATAGAAAGTTGGAGAAATTTTTTTTTCAATTGTTACATCAGAAAACTACAGTACATTCTGCAAAGCATGAATAAAGGTCAGTTACATAGTACTGAGAAAGCACATCATTAAGACTAATAAAAGTTTTTTTGTGAAATATAATCATCAACCTTATTACAGTCAGTCAAAACAAGCATTTACTCAATAACAGAGTGAATTAAAACATCTGCAGTTACACTCATCTGCCAGTGACGGTCTACAGGGTTAATACAGGACAAGTGGCTTACAACAGTTAATAATCGGCCATTTATTTTTACTGACCAGTTAGTCCTTTTAACTAACCAGTTTTTACTTTGACATTATTAACACTGGTTGTGGCACAGCTTACTTTTCTTCTGTCTTTGAGGATTCTGTTGAGATTTTCTTCATTGACTTTACCTGCGTAGTCATAAAAGCTGAAACATACAAAAGGATATCTGTTTGCACCACAAAGAAGTCACAATGTAGTCTGGGCTTTAGGATCCGAGCAAAAGTCTATCACATGCATTATAGTTTTTGCCATGGAACCAACTAAATGTCTTTTAAACTTTGCCTACATTTGACTTTAACAATGTAAATGGATCTTAAAAGTAAAAAGAGTAAAAAAGTAGTGAGTCCAGAGCTACACAAGATATTGCACCAATTGTGTTTAATCAACTAAATACGGTAAATATTATTCATTTTGTGATGGCACCTAGAAACAATGATGAAATGAACATGCTTGTAATGGCAAGGTGGAGCATGACGCAACTGTGCCACAATCCGGGCACTTGTAATGAGGGGGTGGGGGGAGTGGTCTGGCGTGAACAGCTAGAATGTTAATCTCTAACCATGTACATGGTGCTGCGTCAAAGAGAGACACACAGCCGTATGCAAAAGTTTGGAACCCCAATGTAGTATTGGTGATTTTCTAAATGAAAATAAGCAAATTCTCTACAGCAAACACTCAAATATGGAAATTTCAGTACACAGTTTGCATTTATTTGCATGAATTTAGAAAATCGCACATACCACATTTTTTATTTTTCTTCCAATATAATAAATTCAGTAAATATAGTGTAATTTTGCATTAAAATGTGCAGATGTGTGCTCTTTGTAGAAGATGCGTTAATTAATTTTCACTTAGACATTTGCATAGAACGGTAAAACTTTTGCATATGACTGTAAATGCTAAAATTGGACCACAAATGACTGGACATGAAAAATATGTCAGTACTGGACTCAGACTTTCTTACCTGAACAGTTGTGCACAGGGCTCATGGTTATGAACCTCTGAAAAGCAAACAGAATGTAAAAATGATGTAGAATTAATCCTATGAAACTAGGTTGGGCTTTCTGTATTGTGCCATCTAAATAACGTGAACACAGAAATCATACAGACTTAAATCTAGTTCTTTACAGATTCAAAGTTTTCTTATTTAATGTTTTAAAAAAATATGACATTCATGAAGTGGCTTTTTTTAGAGGAATGAGCCAAGTGTCATACACTAGGTTTTTTTGATGCAGTGCAATTTTCTTTTGCGTTAGTGAAAGAGGACACTTACCTACTACATGGAGAAATTCTGAACTACTAATCTGAGAATCACTTATGCTTAAAGTCTCTTCTTGTCTCACTTCTCCCAACAGGAATCCTTCCTGTAAAGATCAATCAAAGACAGAAGATAATCACAACTAGCCTGGCAAAAAACTATTGTGATGGTTAATCCATTTTCCACCATAGATTCAGCCTGTAACTTGCTAATGGTGATACATTTATCTCACCGTTATTAAAATATAATTATTATTATATTAACACATTAAAAAATTTAAAGGAAAAAAAAACACAACAATGGCTGAGGCTCGAGACTGATGATGCTCCTGCTATAATAGAAAACTGAATACATAAATGCATAAAAACATCCGAAATGCTTTCATCACTTCCATACTTGTCAAAGAAATCCACCCTCAGCCAAAAGCTTTTCTCAATATGTTTTTTTTATTTGACTGCAAGAATAAGGGTGTGTGATATGGCAAAAAAGATTATATCACGATACTTAAGACATTCTCTCAATACATAATATGCATCGCAATAGTTTAATGAGTTGGTCAGTGCTTTTTATGTACTGATTATTTCCATGACGTGCTCAGAAAAGGTCACTTCAACATAGTGTAATTTATCTCAATAACAATAAATATTGTCATATTGACCTACCCAAGGCATAATAACCTACCCAATGCAAATTACCATTTTTTTCAATGGGTAAAAAGCTACTGTCCAGAAATGCAAGCTTGCTACGATTTCTGTCTTTAGCACAATCAGAGACAGTAGTTGGGGTTAAGGGTCAGTGAAATGGCAGACATACAAACAATACATAATACGCACACACAATGTTTTGTTTTTCCTAATTTTCATATGTTGGAACAGACACAACGTACCAAGAGTGCTGCAACAACGAATCAACTAAAGCGACGATTAATAATAAAATAGTTTAGGAAATGAGTCTTTGTTTTCTTGTATTGGCTGACTTGACAAATCTTTTTTATTTCAAATCACTTTTATCAAATAAGGGAAAATATAGATCAATGGAAGTGCAGTGCAGGGTCATGTATAACCCAGAATCCTAAACTGCAACACTTCACTTTAACATCATCTAAAAGCATGACCCTTACATGTGAGCATCTTGAGAGACCGATATCATATAGGCCACCTCTAGCTGGGGCTTAAAATGGGGAGTAATAATTGTTTGGCACAAGTTAGCCGGTCAGGTGAAGTGCTGAAGCTGACATTTAAAAAACAAGTCAACATTTAAAACAGCATGAAGGAAAATCTGAAAACAAATTAAAAATAAATACACTGTAATGTCCTTAAAGGGGAATCCCACACAATTTTCAAAATTTCCACATATTGTAACTGCCGAGATGGAAGTCACTCTGAATGTTTTTTATTTTTGCAGATTTACAGCTATTTTTCCATTACAGGTAAAGCGCTGCATTGTAGGGCAGTGTACACAAGTTTCAGTTTATATATGTAATGCTGATAACGGAAAAAACAGCTGTAAATCTGAAAAAATAACTATTATATTTTGCCTTACTCCTCTGCATTTATTTGAAAAATACATTTTAGTCCAAAAGTTTATTATAGCACTATTGCAAAATAACATCTCAGGCATCAAGCAAAATATTCATAACTATTTTGCGCAATACCTTTCTGGAAAGTATCTTCGGGAGGCATTAAACTCCTGTAAACACTTCTGTGAACAATTCTGACCCTCCAAGTTTTTCTTCAATGGCGCACTTCACATCAAATAACCTTGTTTAAGTCTTAAGTACTATTCAAAAGAAATTCGTTTAATGTGGGAAGGTGAGGTAATTCTTAATTGTGCTTCTTAGTGATCTTAGTCTCTTTGGAATCTGTCAATCTGTCAATCTTCACAGACTGTGCGCTCCCACATCAGTAAAGGTTCCAGCACTTTTCACCAACTACAAAACTGTAAAACTAATCCCAAGTTATATTATTCCTGTATGAATGAACATGCCAGTAAAATGTGATGATATAATGTGGAAAAAATTGTTATGTATGGAAGAACTTGAAGTGTTTGCTTGTGTTGCCTGTGGCTCAAATCAAGCCAATATGTATTGTGATACATATTGTATGTGTATATGTGTATGACTGAACATTAAAACATGCAAAACGACAGATAAAAAGTTTGATTTTATAATGTTATGTTGACTGTAAATTCTCCACACTAATAATAATGCTAATGACTCTTAAGACTGGCAGTCCTACACATTACAGATGTCATGTGGTCAAATTTCATTAACCCACCTCCCCAATCCCATCCTCATAAGTTCTTTTACCATTAAATTATGCAGAAATTTTGAAAAGGCAGTGGAATTCCCCTTTAACAGCTGTCACTCTTTCCTAAGAGAGCAGACTGTAATATGAGCAATGGCGTTCTAGTGTCCATTCGTTTCATACCGGAAAGGACACAACTCTGTGCTTGTCCACTCCAACTCAAAACATACATGGCTACAGCTGTGAAGCTCTGGAGAAGGTTAATCTTTCAGTACGTCTACCAGCAGAGTCTCACAGTAGTGTCTGATTCAGATTTTCTCCATGTGGACACCATGCAAATATTTCATTTTTTTTTATTGTACTTTTTTACTGTTTGATTAATATTAATATCAGCCACAAAATAGTCAGAATTCTCATTAATAAGTGTTTTTTGTGCGGTATCCCCATTTTTTCAGGTTCTTTAGGTTAAACTACAACTTAAACTTAAACTACAGTACATTAACACAGTCTTGATTATGTATTATGCAAAAGTAAGTCATCAACAGCTCTGTTGTCATCTTTTAAATCATACAAGAGCAGATACAGAATTATTTATAGGGAGATCAATAAACTGCTGTACTGCACTGCTACATTAATGACACGGCTCACTTCAAACAAGGCCCATTCCACCGCACAAAATCTTGTATGGCTGCATTCTTTCTGACAGGTGTGCCTCTGAGCTTTCCTGACAAAGCATAGTTCAAATTGATAACTTAGTTCAATTTATTATGGATCAAGCCCATTTTGCTGTGGATTAAAATGCATCATCCTCCTTTTAGCCGAACCTTGCAGTCTCCCTTTAAAATTCTGCCCAACAATGATTTGATATTTACACAATGATATCAATATCTACACAATTAGAGCTACACAGAGCACATAAAACTAAACAGCCTACGCTTGTTACGGACCAGAGTGGTAAAACAGTTTGGGGTTGGGAAGGAGATCATCAGACAGGAAGCAAAGATAATAACCACTTTAGTCATCACTTTACTTAGACGAGTTACATTACACTAGATTTCACAACACACAGTCGGTGAGTCTACTTCCTTGTGTATTTACATAGCTAGCTAACACTACGTGACCTGCTGTTCCTGTATATCCAATATGACAGGACATAAAAAATAAACAGTAATACATCCACATTCCCATCAGAATGGGTGAAATCAGATTTCCTTTAGAGAAGTCGTCTTAAGCACTCTAAGATCTGAGAGTCATAGCTGTGTTGTCATCCTCATACCTATCTGTAGTGAACAAACAAGTTAGCCAGCTACACAGCTAACATCTGGCTGCTTTGGGGCGTTTGTTTAACAAGACAATATCTGGACATCTTCGAACAATCACACAACTCCTGCCAATGATATCCTTCAACCTGAAGGAGCGAAGGTTGTACTAAAACGAAGTGCACTTGCTGCCACCGAGCTGGACTGAGCGCTAACTGGCCGGCTAGCCTGCTGTCATCGCCCCTGATACTGAAGCACTGTTGCGAGGCTGGTCAGCTGCTTATTCGCCAGATTCATATCCGAATTCTACCGTTCCACCTTAAACGGTGCAGCAGTTACATCCAGGCGCTCGAGGCTCAGGCCCCAGAATGGAACTGCTGCAACATTTTAAGGTGGAACGGCAAAATGTCTTTACGACAAGAAGCTGGCAGATAAGAAGCTGACTTCAGCCTCGAAACACTGCTAGAGTTAGCCTGGAGGATGACACCAGAAAATTGAGTCAGGGGGACGACACCGCACGCGCTGTCCGACATTTCACACCACGAACACGCGTCCGAGCGCCGGACTGAACTGGCGGTGTACTTACATGGTCGGAGTTGCTGTTGGCGCTGTGATAACACACAGAACTAAAAGTGTAACCCGAAATCGATGCCGCCATGATGGAAACATACCCGCCGCTCCCACAATGCCTTGTGTGTCCGCACCTTCCTTCCTTCCTCACTCAGGAGTTCAGAGTCAGCAGCGCGCTTTCTCGCTCTGTTTATTCCGCTGCGGATCTCCTCACTCTGCGGGGCCCCTGAGGGGCTGTGGTAAAAAAAAACGTAACGCCATCGCGTTCCCTCGCAAACGTTTTGCGTTCCCTGACAAATGCAGGGAGAAGCTGAGACATTTGATAAGAAGCTTTAGCTTTTAATTTAAAGGAATTTATCAGGAATAATTTGGAAAAATGAAAATGTTATTAATACTAGTAAGAAATTAATTTTGGCGTGTACAACAAAGTAAGATTTCTGTTCTCAGTAGTAAGAATTTACAGCGTTTCTCAGTTATTTTTTAATGGAAGGAATAATTTTTACTGTTAAAAATAAAATTGATGTTAAAATAATTTACTACTGACAGCTTAATCCTTTAATGTACACATTTAGTTCTAACGTGTAAGAATGGAAAGCTTTTAATTTTACATGTAAGAACTACATTTTACCAATTAACAATTCTGTTTCAACTGATAAGAGTGCAGTTCAAGGATGTTACAAATTGTTTTTTATATGTGATATTTCTCAAATTGAATTTGTGAGAATTGTGGATTAGAAGCTAAAATGGCATTTGATAGAGGACAAACAAGAATGACAGTTTTCTCTTTTAATGTATCAGCCTGTTAGGAGCACACAAGTAATTATTTGCAGGTTTTATGGAAAATTATCAGATTGAGATATGCTCAAAATTCTCTTTTGGTCTGAAATGATCAATGATTTATGTTGGTGTATTATTATTATTATTAGTAGTAGTAGTAGTAGTAGTATTGTTTAGATTACAGGAATTATTTTGTAATGAGTTGATAGTATAAGGCAGAAATGATTAACACAACAGCTGTGTTTGAGCATTCTTCACATTAGGTAGAGTTGCAGCCAAACAGTGATGTCAAGTTGAAAAATGATTATTGTTGACATTGATGGGGAACGTACAGTTACTTATAGGTCCAATAGACTCTTAGGAAGGTCGTATCTGGACAGCTGTGGTGCACAGCTGGGGTGGTGTTCACAAAGGATCTAAGACTGCAGATCCAAGATCAGATTTGCTACACTCCTACAGACCTCAGTCAGACCGTGAACAGAAAACTGGTACAGAAACAACAGTCCTGAATGGAGATGCTTTGTAAAACAATCCCTGGAGTGTATGAAATGTTTGAGGCTGTGTCATGCATTGATTCTCTGCTCCTCTTAGTCACACTGATATTTTACTGCCCAGCATTCAATGTGCATTTTTATTTTTCTAGTGTGTTGCTTAAAGTATTCATACATTAGTGTGAATTTAAGGTATACAGTTTTAGGCTTAATAGACAGTTTAAAACTAAATAGAAGTAAGTAGGCCTGTACACAATCTCTTTTTCTTTGCCATTTCTCTTATGACAAAAAATCTAGTAGTACTACTGGAGTTTCTGTATTTATGGTAAATTCAGACAGTTATAGTGTACTACAGGATATTATACAAGTTTATAGAGATTACTATAACACAGAACTACAGAAATATTAAGGAAGGTGGAAACATAGATTGTTATTGATGCAATGTATGCAGAAGTCAGAAACAACCTCAGTCAAAATTTTTGTTGATTTTCTTAGTTAAAATAAGTTACCACATCCACTGCAAGAAATAATGTTAAATTCTGCTGAAATTCTGATTGTAGTCCACAATTTCTCTTTATTTGCTGAAGTTAAATATTGGGAAAAAATATATAAATGTAACAATCTTTGCACAGGCTACATTTTTCCCCCAATATGTTAAATTTAGCCAAGTAATTGTGCATTAAAGTGTGTGGAAGTGTATTATCTGTAGAGAATGTATACTGTTTTACACTTAGAACATCAACAAAACTGTAAAGCTGTTTTTGTCCCCGTTTTGTGTAATTGTGGAGAAAATAGAAATGTGATTATCAAAAGATACGCTTTTACATAAAATATATTAGCTAAATGAAGAAACGTTTAAAACGACACTCATTCAAATATGCCATTAATATTTAATAGCTGCTGGTTTCGTTAAATCATTAAAATCTTTTATTTTTCGCTGATAACTTACAAACGTCATAAATACTGAGCTAGAGATACTTTTATTTTGAAGTTCTGTGTAGAACGCCATGTTTTATATTTAGCTGCTGCAATGGCTTCAGTCGAGAGCTCACATGTGTCCCAGAGCTCTTCAGCGCAGAGTGCTGAAGAGGGGGAGGATTTTATTCCATCAAAACTTGGAACAAAAGAATAGTAAGATATTCACTTTAACACAGACAGACACGTTTCAGTCTGGTTTCCAAATTATTTTAATTTGTTAAATAAGCTACATTACCTGCTTAACTTTCAGAAACACATGGCCACTATTAAAGAGCTAACTTGGTTAATCTCAACAAGGACAAGTCAAATGTAGTACGTCCTTTCCATGAAACAGCCTCGTAGACTTGAGTTTTTTCTTTTTAACACAGCTTTAGTGGTAACAGTTCATTCGTCTTCAGGGTAAAGTTTTCTGGTGTAACTGTGTTCATGTTGTGAGAAAATGCACTCCTCCATACCCTCAGGTGGACGACCAGATTCAAAACTAAGAAGTGCTGACCACTCTGTTTTCCTCCTAGCTGGGATGATGCCTACAGGAGGGAGCTCCAGACTTACAAAGACATTGGAGATGTTGGAGAAATATGGTAATGCCTTAGTTCAAAATATACATTTTCTCTTCCCACATCATTTCTGATGTGAAATTCTTTCTTCTGCACAAATAAAAAAGATGGTTCTTTAGTAAAGGTGGTGGTACTATTTAGAACAATGAGTTCTATATAGAATCATTTCATGCTCATATGGTTCTTTGCATAGTGAAATGGTTCTTCAGATTGTTGGAGAAAGAATGGTGTATGGTTCTTTGTAGCACCAATAACAGACGGAGAATAGAAGAACCCTTTTTTGCAATATAGAACCATTTTCAAAATTGTTGTATATAGCGCCATATACAACACATTCTTCATCAAGCTGAATAACTGTGTCACCATGCAAAGAACCATTTAAGCATGAATTTTTCATAGTGATGGTGATAGGAACTAGATATCTAGAGTTTCATGCCTCTAAAGCCGCCTCAAACAAAGTTGAGACATTAAATTGATACAAATGCACTCCCGGATGTCTGTTTTATGACAGTTTTGAGATAGCTGATGAGCTTTTGATCAAAAATGGATTTTTAAAACATGTTTATACAGGAGTCGTAAGGCAAAACAGTCCCTAAAGAACATTTTTCAAAATGATTTCTATTTAACTCTTATCAACATTACATAATTAATCTCATCGGACATGTTGATTTAAGGGTCATTTTGGATGGTGAGTAAAATGTCTTTATTTGGGTTGTAGCCTGGTTCATGTCACCACCACTGAGTCAGTAAGTTTCTCTGTAAGGCACTGTTTGACATCAAGCCACAATGAATGACTTTGATTATGATTAAATGATTGTTACGATTAAATTATGCAACAGTTTAAAATCTTTGCAGGAATTTCCTAATAAGAATAAAGATGTAACAGTGCAAAGTGATAATGCAATGCCAAAATGTGGAGATCAGCACCTCATTCCTGCAAGTTTCTCCTGCCTCATTGCTCTAGTCTCATTAGTTGTCATGCAATAACATGGAGACATTCAGCTTTTTTTTTCAAAAAATGACATTTTCTTTAAAAATATCAAATTGTGAGTCCATTATCGTGAAACATATTGAACTGATTGCTGGGTATTTGCTATACCCCTTAAAAAATGTGTGGTGAAAAAGTGACACGATAAAGGCAGCCCCTGCCTTATCCTCTTCACAAAGTTAATTTCCATAATATTTTCCATAATGCTGTTTCCTTCGATTTTCCACATGGTGTGTGCTCAGGTCTCCCTCAGCAGAATGGTCCATCTCAAGGGGATAAACCAGATAAATAAAAGAAATAATCATTTCTTATTCATACCTCAGTCCTACCTGCATCTGCCATTACCATAGCTGTGTAGTTGTTGAGTTCTTTCTCTGCCTACAGGTTTGGGGAGGGAAGTATGAACAGAGTGATCAAATGGATGGAGAAACAGAATATACCTGAAAATGCTGCTATTCTGGACATTGGCACTGGAAATGGAGTCTTCCTTGTAGAACTGGTACATCTTAATACAATACAGTGAATTACGCAAAATATAAACATTTGTTTTTTATTCTTTTTCTGGAATAATAAAAATTATTTTAATTTTCTCTAAAGGCCAAACATGGTTTTACAAATCTTACTGGGATCGACTATTCCAGTGCCTCCATAGAGCTCACAAGAAATATTCTGGAAGAAGAAGGCTTAATAAATATTAACGTTCAGGTAAGGGGTCTTTGTTTGTGCCTTAACCTTACATGTTTTTTCATTTTTAGTCATTTTCTTGATCTGTATCTCAGATTTGTGTGTGTTCTTTATATATATTTAAGATCTGGGTGTGTCTTAGTCAGTTAAGCTTTGTTTGATCTAACCCTGGGTTTTCTATCTTATGATGGTGGGTCACTTTTTACTGGGCTCATGACCAGTCAGAGACAGCCTTCTGGTGGAGGTCAATTCGGGCTTTTTTCCCATGGCCCCTGTGGTGCTAATCACAAAATATAGCTTTTTAGCAGAGAACATAAAGTATCCAGTAAGCACTAACATGGTGGTAGTTCACCATTCTAAATTTTTTACCTTCTACATATTTATGTAGATTTCATTTGCCTACTTTAAAGGGCAACTTGACTCCTCTTGTTTCACCCCATGGGCTGTTTGTCATAAGTGTCTTGCTTTCATACGCACGTACATGAGGATCTGCATTTGAGTATCTACCACAATTGCATTTGTCAGGTTTTTTACAGCTGAAACTTAGGAACTCTAAGTTAATTGTGCTTGGTGAGACAGGCCCCTGAATTCTGTATTAGGCTCTAAATTAGGCTCTGCTCTGTTCATTTGCAGTTCATTCCGTTAGCAAAGATTGCAGTCAATCTGTTAAGCAATCTGTAAAATGACAGTAGGCCACAAGGAGTTCTCAGAAAAGCTGAGTGTCTGTGTGCTCTATTTTTCATCTTATTACAGGAGCAGGATTTTCTGAATCCTAGTGCTGATTTGAAAGACTTTGACGTATGTATAGACAAGGGCACCTTTGACGCCATTAGCTTGAATCCTGAAGGACGAGATATGACAAAGCTGCAGTACGTTACTTCGCTGAGAGCTGTTTTGAAGCCGCAGGGTCAGTTTGTCATTACCTCATGTAACTGGACCAAAGAGCAACTTCTGCAGATCTTCAGCCCAGGTACTGTGAGTAAAGGAGCTTTCACAACTACCTCGTTTGATGCAGACCAATTAAACCTTCTCTTTAGTTTGGTTCTTTTTTGTGTGAACCCTCCACCCATATTTGGGTACACATCAAACAAAAATTGCAGGTCTTGGTCTGCTACCCTGGTTCATTTTACTGTTGGTGGTCCCCACCAGACAAGGGAATTCAACACCAGACTATGCTTTTGTCATCTTCTAGCAGCACATCAGCACTGTACTGTCTACATAATCTATGTTTTAACATTTAACTCTTGATACTCACATCATTGTTATAGCAGAGTTGCTGGTAAAAACAGCAGACAAGCAATAAAATAATAGCAAAGCAATACTGATTGGCACATGTATCATGGAGTTATATTTAGCCAAGCAGCAGAGACCTGATGAGTGAATTGAAATTGACAAAGCATTCAATCATACAGTGAAGACCAAGAAAGGTTCATTTATTATGGCTTTGGCTGTGATTCACATATGTTCTCTATTTTAATACAAAGTAGGAGTAGAATAATACATTTAGATCAAGAGTATATGAGGGATAAATCTTAATGTTATACTATGAAGCGCTAGTGAAGGTTGTTAATGGCCGTTTTTGGCTTTAATTGAGTCCTTGTATCTCAACCAAATTCCTGACCAATCAGCAAACACCCACACATGTAATTTGGTGAAACCAACTGATCCAAAAAAAAAGATACAGTGTCACAAAACCCAGACTCTGGTTTGGACTCTAGAAAATGATCTAGGTGTGAAACCATTCAAAAAGTATGCACAAGCACCATGGCCACTGTTGTGGATCAGAGATTAAAGATATGTTAGAAATGAATCAGTTCAGGATGTTGGTGTGCAAATGACAAAGATGTTATAACTGATTATGATTAGAGCTGTATTGTAAAGAACCTAATGAAACACTGTTGGATGTTGTATTAATCTGCATTTAATGCTGATGTTTAATCAATATATTGATATCAGGATAACCCTTTTACAATTTGATGGCACCAGTCGACATTTACATTGTGCAAACTGACCAATAGAAATAGTCCAAAATTACGTGGAACAAAAATCATGTTACATTACCTCTCGTTAAAGAGGAAAAATTCTCAGAATTGTTCAGAGTGGTGGCGATAGGAACCAAACATTTAAAGAGTTTAATGTCTCCAAAAGCTACCTCACAGAAAGGTGTTACATAAAATGGTTACAAATATGTTGCCTGAGGCCTGAGACATTGTTTTACTGTAGTTTTGGTCTAAAATATGCTACAATACATGTAGGGCAGAGAGGTACATACAGAGCATTGTGAGGGAAAATTTTTAACATCTCAATAATTGAATTATGTAGATATTTAGAATCTTGGAAAGTTCCTGTTTTGCAGATACAAGGTTTTGTTACAACAGCAATTATATGTAGTATATCATTTGCATCCATGTGTCTGTCTTGCAGGTTTTGAGTTACTGCAAGAGCTGCCCACTCCTCGTTTCCAGTTTGGTGGGGTCACTGGCAACAGTGTCACAGCTTTGGTCTTCAAAAGGCTTAGCTGACCTTTATCATCATGTGACTGGCCTTTGCTTTGGAAGTAATTCATTTGTAAATGTCTCACTCTTTTTGTCACTTTTACTTTTGTATATAAACATAAAAATAAAAAGAAACTGTATTCAAGATGGCATTTTCAGTTGTGTTACAGTCATAGTGCCTCACTGTCAGAGCCAATCAATGTTCCCAATATTTAAAGCATGTTATTTTCCTGCTGTGCAAAACACAATAATCAAGTGTGCTCTGCATTCTTTTGCTTCAGAAATATCTAACACCTCTAAAATCCACCCTAATTATGTTAGCAGCAGAAACAGTAATACAGCTTCCACCTCATTTAGCCTGGGAACAAATTAACAAGCTGCTCTGTTCAGACTGTTGCTGCTTGGTGGAAAAAAAAAGTAACTACTTTGAAATGACATGGTTTTAGAAATACTTTAACTATTAGATAGTAGGAAATGTAGGAAAACTATGCTTTGATTATGCGTCTGGCACCCCAGCAGTTGACATCAAGGTATAAAAGTGCTACATTAGTGCTTAAATTACACTGCCAGAAAGACACTTGGAATAATGAGGGACACTGCATTTTGCATCAGTATATATCTAAAATATGCGTATGGTCTGACGGACAAAGTAGGGCTGGATTATTCATTTTGCTTTAATGGTGATCAGCTTCTTTTGGACTAGCAGTACATATGCCACACCACATGAGGGCAGTATTGATCAATTTAAGCAATGGGTCATTATGGCTATGCAGAGGTGGGTCCAGGTGTCAATATTATATGGCAAATTGATTGTTCTCCACATACATGTTTTCCAAAAGTTTGTAGACACCTGCTCACCTGCTCCTGCAATGTTTCTTCTAAGAACCTGAAAAAGTACTAAAGTGGAGTTTCTTCTCCTTTTGTTGCAGGAACTGCCTCTTGAGAAGGCTTTAGATGTTGGAACATTGCTGTGAGGATTTCATTGCATTCAGCTACAAGAGAATTAGTGAGGTCAGGTGCCGATGTTGGATGATTAGTTAGAGATCACAAGCAGCACTCCAAAACATCCCAAGATATTGGTTAGAGCGCCATCACTCCAAAGAAAGCACTTTCACTGCATCATAGCCCAATGCTTGGGGGGATTGATACCTCTCTAGCTGATGCTGGCAATGCTTTTCTATAGCGATTATACATTGCACACTATGTGTGCACAGCTGTGTCAGCTTTAATGGCAGTATTATCAATAGACCTCTGAAGTTGTGTATCATTCTGTAGTCGGAGTCACACCTATATTAGGAGCTCTGGGTCTAAGTAGATTTTCTCTATGACAAAATGAATGGCGTTTTCGAAAATGTTTCAAAGCCGATATGTTTTGTTCTGTGTAAATTACACATCCTTTGTCTTATATTAGTAACTATGATAACCCAAGCAGCGCATATCCTACATTTCTTTTGTAATTCAGTTTTTTCCCCTGATGTCCACATGTGACATTCATTTTTTACATGACCTGATGTATGTAAATGATCTATGTTCTAATTGGCTGTCCTGCACTGGGCCTCCTTCAAAAAGCAGACCAGGTTGAAACACTCGTTATAACTTCAGTCTGAATGGGCAGGGCTAAACTACTGTAGGCTGAATGGATGAATATATGTCAATATGTTGATTTTGTGGCATCACAAAAACCAATAAATTCAGATTAGGCTGTTTTTGCTGCTTCGTTTTCATATACTGACTGTATAAACTGGGAAGTGAATAGTACATTTTGACATACTAGCATGTTTACATACTGCACTTAGACTTTTATTTTAAAATGTATTTTTATTTGTACTAGGGCGCAAAAGATCCTAATTATATCATTGGTTGTATCACTGGATCATCACAGTACCTTCTAATTCTTTAGTTATGTATAGACTCATAGAAACTAACTCTTGTGTTGTCTTGGTCACTGTAGAATTATGGTATTTTCACTCTTCATTATTGCTTTTAATTTTGCATGAAGTTTAACGGAAATGCAGGTTGTCAGACACTTAACATACTTTTTTCTGTGTAATTATATTTATCTCCTTCATCAGAAGGCAGTGCTGTCGCTTCCACAGCAAGAAGGACCTGGGTTCGGTTCACCGGTTGGTGACCAGGGTCCTTTCTGTGAGGAGTTTGCATGTTCTCCCTGTGTCTGCGTGGGTTTCCTCTGGGTACTCCGGTTTCCTCCCACAGTCCAAAGACAAGCTAAATTGGCCCTAGGTGTGAATGTCTATGTCTGTCCGTTTGTCTGCCCTGTGATGGACTGGCGACCTGTCCAGGGTGTTTCCTGCCTTCCGCCCGATGACCGCTGGGATAGGGTCCAGCACCCCTTGCGACCCAGTAGGATAAGCGGTTTAGAAGGTGTGCGTGTCCTCCATCAGAAGTCTTGGGTCACCCTGCATCTGCTTATAGTAGTGCTGATATGCATACTAACAGGGAATTTTCCTTGGGTTTTTCAAAACATAGAGAAACTTTAGCTTATTTATAAGTTATGTGAATGAATTGATGACAGTAGCGAGTCACATGCCACAAAAGACAATTCACAAAAGAAGTGTGGGACAGTTAAATGTAGTGTCGGGACTTTTTCAGACGGTTTAAGACTCAGCTTAGAAAAGTTCATCACCATTATCATGACTGATTTGGTCAGCTTCTCTGTTAATAACTGATAGGAAGATTTAGAGTATATCTCCTTCACTCATAAATTATGATGACCATTGGCAGTGTCCAGCATATTTTTAAAAGATGTAGTCAGAGCTCTGTGAACAAGCCTGGGGGTTTGGTAAGAGGTGCAGGATTTCTTTAATATTTTTTTGTTTTAGTAAAAGCAGTCTTAGATATTAAAAAACTCCACAGTAAGACTTGGCAATATGGTTACTGGGGAAAGCACTGTTTGTTTTGGAAGCCTGTTCACAGCCGCAAGCAAAGTTCTTTGTTGTCCAGACAAAGTAAATGAAGTTAGCACACAGGAGATTTTATGTGATGAATTTTGATGGAATCCCCAAAAATCATGTTGATGAGTAATTAGATGATGAGGATTTCTCTTTTCTTTCATTTTAATTAACTGTTAAGTATGTCACATGCCCTTCGCTGCCTTGGGTTTGCGTCACAGATTTACAGTTTTCTCCTGTGAAGCTGGCTGCGATGCACTGCGTGTTGTGACACATTCCTCTTGCAACCATCATTAAAATTTCTGTGACTTGTGCCATGGTAGCTCTTCAGTCAATTCAGATCAGACAGGATAGCTTTCATTGTCCTCGCACATCAATGAGCTTTGGGTGCCCAACACCCTGTCGGAAAAATATTATGATTAATATCACCTTTATTAGAGAAACACACTCACACAAAAAAGGGATAATGGTCTGGGGCTGTTTTTCAGGGTTCGGGGTTTCCATTTTGACCAGTTTTGGTCAGTCCATTATTCTGAGAACACCAGCAGCTTCTTTGGTTTGATTTGCAAATTCTTATTTTTTGTCTATTTCCTACCTCAAAAATGACTTACTGAGAGCTACATATCCTTTCAGACCCGCAGAGGAGTCCAGTTTTCTCTGTATCTTTAAATCATATTTTAAACTAGTGTTGGCAACTTGTTATTTTCCTTTGACTATCCTTTTCCTAATGTAAATGGATTATCTTACATTTAATCTCCTTAGAAATATCTTGAAAAATAACTTCTAGTGAATGGATGAACGGAAAATTAAATGAATGACAGATAGTTCCTGATTTTTTGCACAGTACTGTAAAAAAAAATTTTGGAGTGTAAATGAGCTTTTGTAGTTTTCTTCTATTCCATATCTTATTGTCATGATCATATTAAATCCTTGTAACTTAATTTTTTTAAACTTTACTCCAAAAAATGCAAGGTGCCCTTTACGTTGTGTGAAAGTTTCATGATGAATGGACCAATCGAAATGGTCCAAAATTACTTGGAATAGAATGCAAGTAGTTGCATTCACTTACATTAAAGTTAATAATGTTTTTTGAGATGCAGTATTTTAGTATAACAGCGGCAATATATGGTTTTGGTATGATATTAATTAATAATTAACTGAATATGAGTTTTACAAGTAACACTGCAAAAGGAGAACTAATATTGTAATATGAACATACACAGAACATCGATTCCAATAGTTAGATTATCTTGATACATTTGGGTATCAATCAAAACTGTGTTTTGTCAGCTTGAACAGTTCTGAATCACTATGCAGCAAACAGCCAAGAAAGTCGAAGTACTTCAGACTCTTGCTTAAATCAGCCTGCGGTGCATACAAGTCCCAAAGCCCCACTGCAATGATGGCGAGACGGCGCTGTAAAAAGGTGCCTTCTTCTGGATAAGACTAAATGAAGGGGACCCAACTCTGAGCTCATTAAAAATCAAGGCATCCCTCATAAAGAGCGGTTCAGTCCTGGCGTCCAGGCCAGATTTCCGCTCTAGACCTTATCATCATAGTGAGCATAATCTACTAATACTCCCCAACCTTTGCTCATCTGTCATATCCTCATCCAATAGCCGAAGTAAATACGCACACATTGACTGCTGTTACATCATCCACATGGGTGGTGCAAATCACATCCAAGCCACGCAAGGACAGTGATTTATTCATGCTTTTTCATGTCCATTTAGAAATGTATCAAAGCACATGGATTGAAGAGGAATAATATCCTCCTCTTAATAGTGTTTCACACTGCTGACAACTAGAATGGACAAAGACCAGCATCACCTTTCTCTCTCTGTCTCTCTCCTCCCACCCCCCTCTCATTTCTCTCTTTCTCTGGGTCATTTTTAAAAAGCAGTCTGACAGCTGCACCTGATAAGCCAATGAATGAGCATCCAGCAGAAGACTGCTACCACAGCAACGGGGAAAGAGCAATAAAAGACTGGCTTTGGGCCATAACGCAGTGCCGTCTTAAAGTGGGAGAAATTCCTCCACATCTCTCAGGTTATTACGCTGTCCCCTGCCAGCAGGAAAATGAAATGAAAAACAAAGACTCTAAAAAGGCCTACATTTGATATTCTCTTGCTCCTGATTCAAGCATGAAAAATGACACTCCTGGGCAAGACTTAACTCTTTCATGTGTCAGCAGCTCTGCTTATTCAATTATTTCCAGTGGCTTGACACTTTATTAGGTTCACCTACCTTGCATCTGCACTCTGGCCATTTTTAGGGACATCTAACATATAGTTGTATGCAACTGGCCAAATTACTTTTTTATTTTTAAAATGAAAATACTAAAAAAACTGCACCAAACTGTTGTTATAAAAAATACTATCTGCAAATGCGAATGCACAGTTACTTTATAGTAGATTTGGTTAAATAAAAAGTAATTGTCGCATGTGCAAAAGTTTTTTTTAAAGAAATTAATTAACTCATTTAGCCTTAATTGACTGGTTAGGCAGGACAAGATTTGTCATTAAAACTGTCAGCTGTAATATATATACCATGGGCTCCTCTAAGCAGCTGGCTGAAGATCTGAAAATGAAGATAACTGATGCCTACAAAAGCAGGTGCAGGCTCTAAAAAGATATCAAAGCACATCCAGCTCACAGGTTCCACTGTCCCTGATGTCATTAAAAAATAGCAGTGAAGAGGAACTGTAGAAGTCAAGGCAAGATCTGAAAAATAAAGAAAACTCTCAGACTACTTGTATGCTGGCCAGAAAGGCAAAGCAAAACCCCCATATGGCAGCAACGGATCTGCAAGAAGGTTAGCTGTGGAGGTGCACCATTCAGTGAGCTTTGCTTGCACAAACATGGTCTGCAAAAAGTCATTAGGAGGAAACCTTACATGCAACATCATCCCAAAAGTCAATAACTAAATATGCAAAACAACATTTACATAAAGGTGAGGTTCTGTGGACAGATGAAGTAAAAATAGAACACTCTGGCCACAATCACCAAAGGTATGTTTGGAAAAAGAACCAAAAAGGAGCAGCATTTGATGACAAGAACACCTTGCTGACTGTTAAGCATAAAGGTGGATCTATTACACTTTGGGGTTTTGTGGCAGTCAGTGGCACAGAAAATATTGCACTGGTAGACAGAAGAATGGATTACACTAATAATCAGCAAATTCTGGAAGCAAAGCTGGTCAAGAACCCAGGGCCATATTACAGAAACATCCGAACTCTTATCTATTTACTCACAATGACAACTTCAGTTAGGACTGAATTTAGAACAGAAGCTGTTACAGATCATAAGTTCATAATCTTATCCATGAAATCCAGATAAGAAAACAGTTTTACAGAAACATCCTAACTAGTCAAAACTTCCAAAATATTGTCCTAACTTTAAAGACTCTTAAGACAACCCCAGAGATGTCCTAACTTCTGTTTTAACTGTCTGTTTCTATCATTTTTAGGTAGCTGTGACAGGCAGCACAGTTCACTACTATATTCATTTTTTTTCCGCAAAACAGTGGTTTCAACTGGGAGATGTTTTCAAACTCTTGATTTTTAAAATCCCAGACACTGCAGACATGATCTGCACCGTCTCTCCTTATTACATGTGTGTGTTAATGTGATAAAAACTTGTCAAATAAAATATTGCAGCAATGGAATAGTGAATAACGAGGAGAAATATTAAGTGGAATAGGTCATCTAAAGCGATTAAGTAATGGAAACAGGAACTGGGGAGCAGCAACACTCTGATAAACGGTAGGAGGCGCTGTCACAATATTCTCAACTTTGTGTTTATTGCACTAGTTCTGTTTTGACCTTTTTACATTGCTAACAGTAGCTGTAAATTACATCATTTTTAAATATTATTTTAATTACGTGTTTAGGTTTCAGCTGAGCGTGTATTGTCAGTTGCTTGGTAACAGACATA